TGTTGCAGCTTGCTGACCGGGTCTTATTTCGCAAACTGGTATCAACGTGTGATTGTTGGTAATACTACCATTGATAACGATCACTGCCAGTGTCCTGCAGGGATCCATTTTGGGGCTTATTCCGTCTAGCACTTTCAGTAATAATTTGGTAACGTACTCTCGCAATTATTGCATACACTTATTTGCAGATGATGATCAGATCTACCTCTCATACGGGAGGAAATCTGATAAATTTCAAATGCAATATACAAATGTATCGCAACAGTTGCTCAATCAATATTGAAGATATGCCCTACCTTTTTAGAAACACTGACAAACGGACTCCTCCAACGAGTGCAGCATTAGATGAACGGGATGCAAGTTTTATACTTCTTCCGTAAGCCACAAAATAAACTTCTTCGTAATTCTGAATGATAAAGAAGATCTAGATCGTCTCTCGGTCGACATCTCTGGCCTGATTCTAACAACTTAATGTCAAATGCCAGTAAAACTAAAGCCATAGTTATTTCACCAGTGTGCTGTGATGTCTATTAACTGCCTCCTGTTAAGATGCGTGGCGATGAGATTGTGTTTGGTAGTGCGGGCTCTAACCTTCAATTCTCGTTGTGGATCATGTCAATTATACAACCATACGTATACATAACATTTTAAGGATGCTGTCGATTTCTTCATTTTATGCTCCCGTTATTACTAAATTGAGACTGGTTAAAGGTGTCGTCGTGCAGCTTATACCTTATGGTACTGTTATTTGTGATCATTTAAATTCTGTCTCTAGCAATATGTTGCAGGGTGTTATTAACATGTGTGCCAGATACCTCTTTAATAAATGGAAATACAAGAGAGTATTCCAGTTCTCGCTTAAGATTTTTGATTCCGATTTCCAAACCTACCTCAATCTCAGGAACCTAGTCTTTTTGCATAACCTCTTCCGCACTCGAACACCAAAATATTTACATGAAAAAATCCGGTTTGCCAGAGCGAACGATGAATTTCGTTCTGACTGACCATAATTATCTATTAACATTAAGGCTATCTTTGTATTAACGTATTACCTCTCCGACGAGTGTCTTGGAAATCAAAGTATCATAAAATTTCTAAATGATTATTGGAATATACACAACACTGAAAAAAGGGATTGAAATTTAATCATTTAAATGAAAAGGAAGAAAAATGGCATTTATTCTCAGATTTAATATAAATGATGTATAATATCTTTTCATACCCGCCAATGAAGGCTGGGGGTATGCCCAATTTGTCTTTTTGTTTTTAAATATGTGTACCACCCAACAAGATGTGTACCACCTACCGAAGAAGCTGTGGAAAAGTTACAACAACGTTTTACCAAACTTATGAGTCAAGTGGCTGATTTGACTGAAGAAAAACAACGCTTAGAACATAAAGTATTACAATTACAAGGTGAAACTGAAACAATTGGCGAATATATAGACCTTTATCAAACACAACGGCGTATGCTAAAGCAACGGGAATATGAGAGAGCTGCCCAAACTCAGCTGTTATAAACTGAACGTCAACGAATGCATGAACGTCTGGCTTTATTGAATAATTTGGTCAGCAGATTGGGCGTAGAATTACCGGAACAAAAGTTAACCCAGCAAGTTGAACCCCATGAAACAGCAGCCATGTATTAAGAATTTAACTCCCCCCGAATCTCTGGAGATTCTCGCAAAAATTCACAACATTATAACAGAAATTGAGGAAAATACCAAAGAGTTGCCTTCGATCAAGCACACAGTTGACCATTTCAATTGTTGCATGGGAAAATTTGACGTAGTTTAAATAGTAAATTTTACATTACAAGCAAAAATAAACATAATAAAAATTGCAGCGTTGCTGAGTAAAACTATGCAGCCGAAAGAATGTTATGTTCGTTTTGTAATGAATACAACTCAATTAAGGGTGTGATGTTATGTATATATATATATATATATAACTAGCAAAGACACAAACCGTTTTTTGCAGAGCTCTGTTCTTCCTTAGGATAAAATCTGTATGTTAAGCACAAGAAAACTCGAAGGAAGCATGGACAGACCAGCTTAAAGCTATCATGAAAGTGATTTCAAATTAATCGATAAAATAAAAGGTGGGTATGTCTCACATCCTACTTAACGTTGCGAATTTAATATACGCCCGTGCCGCAAGTGTGTAAACGCACATACAGCCGTACTTAATGCATTGCTACAATTTCTAAAAGAGTGCGTCAACACATCCCCTCTGCATAAGAACTCCTACGATACTGAATAGAAAACTAAACGTTGTGTTGATACATCTCTGTGAAAATGCACATACAACCTTAATCGAATCTCACATCGATGTCTTTTTTACAAAGCCCTGTTGAATGATTGAGAACGAATATGCGTTTATTCTCAAAAGTCACACAATACATGTAAAGAAATTTATTCAAACATTCTCAATTGTATGGAATTTGTATTTTCTCAGATGGTTTGAATTTGTTGCTTTTTTACAAAGGCCTGTTGAAAGGAAGGAAGCTTCAGAGACTCTATAAAAAATATATATTCTTGAAAGCAAAAATTAGTGGGCTTTTGCCCGGTGTTCAGACATTACAAAAGTTAGAAGGCTGATATTTTCCATATTTACTTTACAAAACACTCTACTCTTTATGTGCAAAAATAGAAAGCCATGCTCACACAAATTGACAAGTTATTAAATTTTATTTTTTTCACTTTTTTGAAATTGTGTGCTTATTTATCATAATGCAAACAAGACTGAACATTTAAAACTAGTTTGTACATTCCTCAAATAAAGATATATATAGTTTCTGCCTAAAAACGGGTCAATTCAAAAACGAATATGACAGATACCGCGATTGGTCTTCTCTTCATAATAATACGAGCGATGTGGGTCTCAAATAAAAGAACTCGGATAATAGAATACGAAAGGCATAGCGGTGGGTATGCGAGATTCGGCCCTCGTTGTATATAACTTAAGGAAGTTACAATTAAGGAGTTGTTCTTTTTAATTAAAAATTGTAGTTGGGACAGATATACCGTCTAACTTGTATAGAGTACTAAACACAATAAAAGGTCGCACATATTTGGACATATAAGCCATCTCTATTGCCTTAATCCAATTAATCTCAACAATCAAAACAAAAAGGGACCGTTATTAACTCGGAATATCTAAAAACGGCGCGTTCCAATGAAACGAAAATAAAGAAATTTGCAATTTTCGATCTGAACATAAACGGGAGGGTGAAAGGTCTCGTTCAGTGTATTAAGATTTGGATCGAATTTGCTATGTGTCTAACAAGTTGCAACTGAATACTGGTAAGACTAAAGCCATAAGTATTTCGCCACTCACTTGTCAGACCTCACTTCCTTGTCATTAGTTAAGATACTTGGGAAAGCTCTTGGGTTTGTTAGCGTGATCTCTAACCTTGTTTTCATAATTGTCGCTTGTCGCTCAATTTTACGATATTGGGCTTCCACAGCATGCTAAGGAAGCTATAGCTTTCTCCATCTTACGTTCTTACGGTATAGCAAAACAACGAAAAATTTTACTTCCTTATTTATATGTCGCCTTATTGTTGACAAAGAAGAAAGAACAATAGAAAAGGTATATTCTCTTCAGAACAGATGAATTGCGGATTACCCTATCTTTAAATTGTATAGTTAACCAGTATGTAATATGTGCCAATGTTCTGTCTTCATTTTTGCGACAATAAGTGTTCCACCAACAAAAGATACATAAACGAACGCTGGGAGAAAGGGGAAGGGAGATGGCGTATATTGAATTTGATTCACATCAAAATTTTGAAATTTTTTATGAAGATTTTTCCGCTACGATTTTTGCTAAACATGCCTCAAATTTTTTTCAAGTCTGAATGAAAAGGCTTTTCAACCAAACCCGCCGAAAAGCCATAGAGAATATCTTGTTACTGTTGTTTGTTCAGGTGAACATCCCCGACCATATATATTGCAGACCATAAATATCATGCTACAGTCAAACCTGTTTTTGTGCGGTGGATAGGGACCGCAGAAAAAAAACCGCACAAAAAAAAATATTCAAAATGTACATAATTCAATACTACTCGTCGTAGTTCAAAACGCGCATATTAATCCTGTCTTAATGGTTAAAAGGTCAGCAATTAACTAAAATGAAATGAACCTTACAAAATTTGGACCATCTACTCCTACTTTTGAATCCTGCCCCCATGTAAGGATTAAACTTGCACTGTGTTAGGTTGCGTTTTGGGCCAGCTTCCTTATAAACGTGCACATGAGTAATATACCTTTATATAGAAACAAAATATAATTTTTGTGTTCTATAATTTGTAAAAAAATAAAAACTTGTTACACTACGTGGTGAAGGATATTTAATCGCCGGCCTGAGCCCACTGTAATGTTCTTAGTTGTTTTTGTGGAACTATGTATTAGATAAATATGAAGTATATGAGAGTAACGTCAAAGCTGAAGACTTACAAGTGCAAATGAGCCGTCAAGTCGGTTTCAGTGTCCACTTTCATTAAGATTTCCTATAGCTTGTGGCGCATCTATCTGTCTATCTATTTCTTTCGACGATTTGCAAATATTTAACTTTGTGTAAGTGTTTGTAACTTTTAAGCAAGCCGAGTGAGATTTTGGATAACCTCCACTGAAGCATTAGGTCGGGCTCATTTCGTCAAAACGTTTGCAAAACTCAAAAGGAAGCTTCATAGACCTGATGCAATAGGTATGAAAATGGCTGTTGCAATGTGTACATACACACTGATAGCAAAAAAAGTGATGCCAACACAGTTCAGATTGACCTAACCTCTCGGCGAAATTCAATGTGTCGATATTCATATACCACACAAAAAAAAGAATCGCTCAAAAAAAAGCGCATAAAAAAAAGACCGCACAAGAACAGGTTTGTCTGTACACAACAAAATATACGCAAAACAGTTGCTTTTAACAACAGCTGTTGACGACAAATACTGGTTTTGCTGCAAAATAAGCTATCAATCTATAGTGAATTTTTTTGGTTATTTGTTTCCTTTCTCTTGAGAAACATCTGTTTATGTTATCAGAACTTCAAAGAAAACCCAAAAACCTCCAAGGTAACCAGCAGCATTGTTTCTACTCCTCTAGAAAATTAATCGATTTTTACCAGGAATCGAGAAATATTTAATAATATAATTGTAACATAATGAATAGTTTGGGCAAGGATTGCAATGAACTAAAAAGGCAATACGATGCCTGTTTTAATATGTGGTTTACGGAACGATTTCTCAAAGGAGATAGTGATGAAAGCATGTGTGCTCCTATATTTAAAATTTATCAAGAATGTGTGAAGGTCAGTTTCAAAACCCGTAGCAAAAACCCTCAAGAAAATCCTTAAGTTGAGTTTACTATTCTAATTAAAGAAAGCAATGCAGGAGCAACATATCGAGTTACGTGAAATTGAAGCTGATTACAATGCTGGCGATCGCGACAATCCTGATACTAAGCCCGATCACACGAAAAGTTGACCAATACTGGACAGTGATTACAGTACTTCCAGGCAATCACAAGCTCACAAACGTAGCACTTCATTTTAAGATTTACGTTAGCCGACAGTAGGTATGACAGTGGAAGCTTTAAAAAAAAAAAAGAAGAAAATTAGAGTAGCAAATATATTTGTTAAGAAATACAAATCTAGAAAACGAAAGAAGTTAATAAAAAAAAAGAAAAATGAAAGAACAGAACAGTTAAAATTAACTAAAATTAGAACAAAATACAAGATAGAATAGAAATTACATTTACGAGAGAAATGAAGGCTAACTTTAAGATATCAATTAATCTTACATCTGCTTAAAATGCTAACTAGAATACACGGAAATGTTTAAAGTAAACTGAAAGTTTTTCAAAGTTTTAAAACCTTTTTTTTTATTTAGCATATACATAATTACTTTGTGTATTTTATCATGAATTTCAAAATTTAAATTTCACATATATTGAGCTTGAATCGTGCGCAATTCCATATACTTTTTACACTTTCCTAAGTGAGCATTTAAGCTCAGTGTGCCCTTGCTTGTTGCATGTCCGACATGTCTGCTTGGTCTGATATTCTGCGCAATTGTGGCCCTCTTTTTGGGTACAACGTTGGCAGTTAACGCAATGGACGTAATAGGGCTTAACACATATACCGCAATTTAAGCAATGCCGATAGGTGGCACCATTTTTTGAAGGACATTTGTTGCATTTGTTACAGTGATGATTTTCCAAAGCTGTATAACGTTCACATCTCGCACAATATTTATATCCTTCTCTGACTGGCAGCTTAAGCATTTCCAAAGGCACATTTGTGAAAAGTCGTACGGGCGAACCGAGTTTACGAAATTTATGTCCATTATCCGTATACGATAAATGATTAATGTAATTGATTTTATAATCGCACATTTCAAACGCCGAGCATTCTGCTTGTATGTATTGTTCTGAGAAGTATGGAAAAATCCAGAAGGTAGGTAACGGCTGGTGAGGCAAAAGGTTGATTTCGTTAAAGAGCTTACTAAGCCCGCGCAAAGTGTTAATTATAGGTTCTGTTCGGCACCCAAAAGGTGGATCTGTGAATAGAAGCAGGCGTTGCGAGCTGTAAATAAATACAAAGTGCGTATGGATGCCTTATTCTGTTTCCCTTTTATAATTATCATTATCATATCGCCCGGAAACATTTTACATATTAAATGGATAATAGTTCTTTACATATTATACTTTGGCGCACGTTTAACTTGATTGGTTTTCAACAACTAAGAATGTACATCTAAAGATCAATCCTCTATTTTAATTCCTGCGAATAAAAACAACAGAATTGCTACGTTGGACGCACATTCTACACATTCTTTTACTGTTCAGATCAAAGTGCTATTGTAGAAATCCCATATACATCCATTTAATGGCGGATAAAAATTTACACAACCGAATAGATGTTTCTAACCTTTTAATTTTGAAAAATCTTATAAATTTTCGTCTTTGGCACTCGTCGAAGAAAAAATTGTTGCACATATTATACCAGGCAAATTCTTCGTCATCATAAAAGTAGTGGAACCGATGATCCAAATCGAGCAAAAAACTGTGCAACCAATCCTTGCAATGATTTCGTAAATAACCATGTAATCGAGGAGCTCCGATGCAAAGTATTTTGCTAAGAAGCAAATAATAAATTAATTTTAAAATCTAAGAAAGGGTATGTGCTAACCTTATTTCCAGTTTCCTTAAACAGTTTTCAAAGAATTTTAAAGCTTTTAAATCAAAGTAATATTGAGCGTTTCCCTTAGCATTGTCTATAGGTAGTAAAAATGAGGTTGGATCTTTTAAACTATTTTCGCTTAAAGAACGTAGTAAATTGTGTTCTGTATGTGGCTGCAAATCACTCTCTTTTAATGGAACATTACATGTTAAACAATAGTGTTTTTCTTTTTCATAGGTTTCATCCCAAAACTAAAGAGAAACTTAATTAGTCAACCAAGTAAGAATATTATTATTGTTATTATTAATAATTTCGCCAGAGAAATAAATTCTAAGACTAAACTCTTAAAAGCACTAGCATCTAAGGCTATCGGCTTTTATTATAAACTCTACCGCACTTGAGATTTGAACCCACGACTATTGACTTGCTAGTCGAGATTTCTCGCCTTCGGCTACTCAGGCGGATAAAAAAAGTAAGAATAAAATGAGTTTGTTTACCTTTTCTCTTATGGCTCTATATTCCCGTCCCAAGTTGTAATATATACGATTTAAGTGCTGCTTAAATTAAAAAATTTATATAAATCTTTCGCATTTTGATAAATCAAGAAAATTTAATGAAAATATCAAAACAAAATTTCGAAATTGGTCACAGATTGTTTTGTTACTTGCGAACTGCATCTATACTTCAAACAAACCTTCGAATTTAAATCTTTTACTGGCACAAGATAATTGCAAAGTTTTCGATCACGGTAAGCAGCGCAAGCGTAAAAACCTTCTTCCGGACCTTTGTCTTTCATATAAAACAACAAAGTTGGTCCATGCGGGCAATGAGGATGACGCGTTTCGTCTTCACATTTGATTAATAATTTATCGGATTGTTCAGATGTTTCTACAAAAACAAAATCTATAATTACATATAAATTATTTTCACGGGCAAATAACTTAACTTAACTTACGTTGTGCACAAAATGTCATTATTAATTTCTGATATTCTATAAAACTGTTAAATTTTAAATATTATTTAAGATATAAACCAGTCTTCTGAGTTTGATAGAAAGCTCGCGTACAAAAATATCAGCTGTTATTAGTCACCGTCAGTGTTGCAACTACAGCAATTTAGAAACAATAAAAACAGTTTAAACGCTTTCAAATATGCTAGAAGTAGTAAAAACATACCTGTGTCAGCTTTATTTGTATCATTCTTACAATGAAGCCAAGGTCTATATCCATATTTAATCAAGTAGAAAGAAATTGCAATTCTTACTACGTTTTTTAGCGTTTTCTTTAAATGTTTTCATACGAAAATGTATTTCCTTTTAAAAGTTCAAGCACTTATTTTGGCAGCCTTCGTCTGCATATAAACATGTGCGCACATTTAAGTAAAGCCTCAACAAGACGATGATAATAAATTAATGACACGAAAAAATTAATTCTCACGCTATCAAGTTGAATTTATTTATCTGAATGCATGTTTATACTGATCCAATTTGATTTAGATTTTTTTTAAAGGGTTTTGAAAGAGTTTGTCTTTCCACTTCATTTCGCAATTATTAGTCAATCATACTTACTTTTTTTATACCCGTTACGGTGGTGTCAGTACCAAATTCCGAATGTTTACGCATATTTACTTGTAATCAACATACTCCTGATCGCAAAGATTACGTTATTGAATGAAATTTGGCAAAAATATTCGCAGGTTGGTATGTACAAAGGGACAGTCAGAAGACATGATCACGATACCAGATAAACCGCGAACACCTCCGTTTTCAAAAGCAAAAAAATAGGCTATTTGCTTGTTACTTACGTATTGCAACAACAAGGTTTTTTTTATTTTTTGCGCGATGCTGTATCCCTACAAGAATGGGAAAAAGTGGCCAAGCCAATGCAGTATTATAGAGCACCAAAATCGCATTTTCCCCGGGTTTCTTTAAGACAAAGACGCGGAGTATAAAGGTTTTGGCCACAACGAAATATAATTTTCTTTATTGTTTGTTTTTTTTTTCTTGTTTCAAACATACTCTAGACTTGACTTATGGACGATAGATCTCTTTAGATGATAGATGTCTTTAATCCGGCAGTTCAAGAATCCTACTAGATCGAGAGAAAAGAGCTAAAGTCGAGGAAAGTACCGATTCCCGCAAACTCAAAACTCAGCAGTGTCTTTACTATTATTCACCACTTACGGTACAAAGGTATATGAAGTTTGCGCGGATGTATCGAACAACACGATAGATTTAAGATAGACCAACCCCAACAGAATTAATTTTCGAACCGATTTGAACTTATCGATCTGTCTGTCTGTATCGTTTTCTTGTGTTCAACCAGCAACCCGCAATTTTGGAGATATTTTGATGAACTTTGGTACACTGACATGTTTTGGACGAAGAGCAGATACCGTTGGAAATGGTTTGGATCACACAACTTTTTCGACCCTTCAAAAAAATTGTAAATAAAACACAGCAGCGAAGCCTGTAAAAATTTGAACGTACGTCCTGTAAGCGGTCAACGTTGACCACGTCTACCCTACGTTGCAGTGTATCAAAATTAATTTTTTTTTTATATTTTGATAACGCTCCGAAGCAAGCTCCAAAATGCATGTCCGACAAATTTGCAAAAGAATTTGAAAAATGACGCAAACGCTTCAACAGACACGCCACAATATCGAAACGCCCGTGTGACATTTGATACAATATTGCTTTCCGTGTTTGTAGCTCGTTACACGTAAACTATAACATATTCGCCATATAACTTCCCACATTTATTCTGGAACTAGAAAACGTCAGCCGCGCCTACCAATGAAAATATTATAGCCATATATTATTCGTTCTCAATTGTTTTGCATGCATTGTGCCGCTTTGAGAATAAGCATATATTCGTTCTCATTTGTTTTGCATGTATTGTGCCGCTTTGAGAATAAGCATATATTCGTTCTCATTTGTTTTGCATGTATTGTGCCGCTTTGAGAATAAGCATATATTCGTTCTCAATTGTTTTGCATGTATTGTGCCGCTTTGAGAATAAGCATATATTCGAGAAGAGAGACAGACTAATGGTAAGTATAAAAATGAGGGGGGTGTAAAAACAGAACTAGAAAAGAAAAATATATATTAAAAATATTTCATTTTTTAAGACTTTAAGCAGTAGTTGCGTACAGATACGAACAAACCAAGCCTGGAAGTGTAGAAAACAAGTCCAGAAATTAATGACTTTCATTGAACTTCAAGCGATTGTTGTCTACAAAGAAAAATTTGTTAGTCTCAGATTCATAGCTTAGAGTTTTTTACCCAATGCTATAGACTATGAAAATATAATTCTTTTCCTTTCTTTTAAATCTTTTTTAGGATAACATCAATGGGTATAAAAGGTCCTATTACGAGCGTATATAGTTTTCTATATACAAATACCTGCAAGCCAGTTTTCTTACAGTAAGAGCTTTAAAAAAAAGCTGTTGCTTAAAAAAAATTACGACTTTATTGAAATTAATTGAATAAAACACACAACACAATATTTTTAAATAAATCTGAAAAAAATCTGGTCTAATGACATATTGGTGTTTATATACACACACGCGCTCTTAATCAGGAAAGTAAAATAACACATTCACAAAATTAAAAAAAAAAAAAAAAAAAAAAAGAATTTGTAATTCAAACAGGTTTTTCGATAATTATATGTAAAAAAAATTTTTTTTAATTTTAAACTTAATTTTTAAATCAATGAGTTAGTGAAATAAGACTCTTTCTTATATATATTTATATGTAGAATCATATGAATACATATAAACGCATATATATATGTATATATAACTATCACAACAACTGTTTGTCGTAAAAAAGCTGATTAATATTGAAATGATTTTTTTTTCATTGATCTTTTAATTTAATGTTAACATTAAATAATTACTTTTAACTAAATGTTTTGTTTTTTTTTATCTGGCTTATAAATTATTTACAGTGTAATTTAGAAATAAATGAAAAATACAAACAAAAGTTATATATAAGTATGTGGTTGAAAACAAGAAAAAAATTATATTCGGTTGTGGCCGAATGCATTATACCCATGACCGTTATCCTGAAAGACACACAAATAATAAACGTACAAAATTTTCATGCTCTACAATATGGGTGGATGCGGCTTATTTTTTCTGTTTTCAAAATAAAAGTTTTTATCGTATAGGCTTATGAACGTTGTAGGCGTGTTCTTTGAAAAGTTTAGGCCGCTTCAAAAAATTTTTGAAAATTTTTAGATGATATCTTAATATTCGCTGATGGGAGAATGTTGATTACAGATATTGCATAGTTAAGCGGATGGAGAGACGAACATGTTTAAGTGTATTCCGATTTCGGAACTTGTCTAGACTTTGTATGGTTTGTGAATTTTGCTTCTGCGTATTATAAAGGCATTGAAAACAAGTAAGAACATTGTATTCGGTCTTGAACGAGTCTTTTAAACCGACCACCGTGATCCTAAGAAAAAGGAACAGAGTACTGTTACTCTGAAACATTGCATGGGAGTGGTTGATTTTTTCTATTTTTAGAATACAAGTGGGAATTTATGTGTTGCGCTTAATGTGTACCAAGCAAAAACCGGAAATTAGAGGTGTGCACAGTTTTTGGTATTTGAACGTGTGGGCGTTGTAAGCGTATGCTTTGAAAAATTTGGCTCATTTTCATGAATATTTACCGCAGATACTACACAATTGCGCAGACGGACCGAATTCCGAATTTGAAACTGATGAAGAGTTTTTACACTGTATTGGGTTTTTAAAGCTTGCTTTTGGTGCGATATATATAAAGATTTTAAAAAATAAAATGAAATTAAGACGCACTTTAAAATTAGGTAGGCGTGGCCAATTTTTTCCATTTTTGTAGAGGCACTACAGCATCGCCCATAAAATTTTTTCAGATTTGCATCCTATTAGTAAAGACCATCAAAGACCATTAATTTTTTTAGTCCTTCTGAAAAACAGGGGTGTTCTCCTACTGAGAACAGTCACTCATTTTCAATACCAAGCTACGTATAAGAACTTCCAACGCCTCTCCCAAATTTGAAGCAGCCAGGAGAATATTTATAACAGGCATCATACAGACGGACGGACAGGTATGCTCAAATCGATTCAGAATGTTATGCTGAACGCGAATATATATACTTTTGTGGAGTCTCTGAAGATTCTTTCTGGGCGTTTGCAAAGCCCAAATAAGTATAACTTTCAATCTTCGTTGATGGGTATAAAAGAAGATTATATTCGTCTAAAGGGTAATCTTACATACCCACCGCCTGGAATAGGTGTAAAACGCAAAAACCTGAAAGTTATGAATTAAAAATGTTCATTCTGATTACTTCGTTTGGATCGTTTTTATGTCCGCTTCCAAGTCGTGATATCTCTTTGTACCGAGTTTCTAAGTCTCTATCTGTACTGCAAGTTGGTAATTGAAACTATTTGGTTTTTTCATACTCTACGCCACCTGTGGTACAAGAGCGTGATAAGTTTATGCGGATGTATGCAACATCCAGACGAGGTTGAGATAAACTCACTTATTATTGTTGTTCAGATTCAATATTACTTCATCTTCAAGATTAAAGATGATTTTGCACTAATAAAAATTTTTTAGAAAATTTTAAAATAATATCTCCGGTCAGTTGCAATATATTAAGAGCAAATCCGAGGCATTTGTGTATACCATGTGACAGTAGAAAATGTATATCTTACGATAACTCTCAGACTTTATTGTCATGAATAGCAAACAAATGCATCCCTATGCTTCGATGGTCGACTTTGAAAAATTTTGTTGTAGAATTGTAAATTAATTTGTTTTTTTTTGTTTTGTTTTTTATCTATTAATTGCTTAAATTTAATTAATGTAAGTGATACTCTTAAAATTGTTTTCCTTAATTACTTGTAATACGTACGTATGATTAAATGGGACGGACATGCTTATATATATATATTACTGCGTTAAAGTGTTCGTAAAAAACTAGATTTAAAAATTTCTTTTTGAAAGTTTTCGCAAAAATTTATTTTTAATGCACTTCTTAATTTTTATTTGGAAAATCTTTTCTTTTTTATATTCATAATTAAGTTTAATCG